TCACTATCTCTAGGTACCCTAGTGGTCGGCATTTGGGGCTCTCCGACAGTAGTGTACTGTGGCAGCGATTGGCCCCATAGCAAAATCTGGACAGGGCCTCAAAAAGAGCCAGAGCACTCGGGTTTCTTGACCGAGTCGCTAGAGTACCTCTACAGCTGTGTGACAGTCCGAGCCTGTGTCCGGCTGTGAGCTGCCCAAGATAAACAAGCCGGGCTGAATCCGAAAGGTCCCCGGGCGGTGATATTGCCCATTCCAGACATGAGAAGGAAACGGGGGCTGACGAGCAAGTGTGAGCATCAGGATAGTTTACACTGTCCCTCTGGTTGTCGGCCACTGCAACTTCAAGTTGGGTTCCAGGACCCCAAGCCTTTCAGGACTGCGAGTTGAGGCTCGGCTGGAGTCCATGCAACCTGACTGTCAGGGCCTCTTCAAAGAAGCGTTCAATTGTTATGATGAGGTATCACCTGAAGCCGACATCTGTACATACATCAGCGACCGAAAGCAGACACATGAGGCACGGCATAACCTGCTGCCGGTTCGGGCCTGTATTACCTACAGTCCCATCTGCCATCTCAGCGCACGAGCGGGACCGCCCGAATTATCTCGGTGACAAAACATAAGAACTTTTTGGGCTTCCCATCCGTGGCCACAGTGTGTGCATCAGAGAGGTTCCTGTGCGCCAAAGCACCCCGAAATTACAGGTACCCATGTCAAGTCGGTGTCTGGTGTCAATGTCAGGGCACCCGACGGATGGTGCGCACATCGGTGAGCCGTACGTAGAGGTAGGGTACATCGATTCGGAACGGCAGATTTGCAGGGGTGGCCGCAGCCAGCATCAATTCGCTCCGCGTGGGGGTATGCCCGCTCCCTCAGGCTCCGCAACCCTGTCGGTATTTTGTGAAGCTCACGATGTTTCTGTTTTGAGGTGTCTTACTTGGCGCCCAGAACCCCCCAAGTAGTCTACCATGTAAAATCGGTGAATGTCGCAGTATGAACGACTGAAAGCGCCTATTTTCTGAACTGCATCTGTAAACACAACCTAACATCTCAACAGCTGCAAGGAACCATGCAATGTGTCGAGGGCCTGGATATGAGAATTGGACGCCAGCCAGGCACGGTACGTACTGTGTAGAGGTACCTTATGGTCGGTCCCCGGACCCCATTAACGTGGGAGGTGCGAGCGTTCGCCGTCGCTTGGTGCAGTGTCTCTACCCCGTAAAATAAGAGACCTTGCCTTAACATTAGCCCGCGGTTCAAAATACCGGGCTACTAGCTACCCGAACACGTGTGGTGACGGGGTGTCGTTAACCTCTATTTTCCACTCACCTAACCTACACCTGTAACCAACAGAGCTTGCCCCGGCGAGGGATAAAGCACGCTAAAAGTCCAATATCATAGCTAGGTAGGCTTTTCGTCGTTGGGTACCTAGCGGGACTGCATCTCCAATTCCACAATCTGCCCCCATCCTATCTTTTCGTCGAGTTTCCATGTCATTCATCTCATCAACAAACTAGAAGGTTGCTTACATGAAGCCAAGAAACAGAGCCGATCTAGAGCTTTACGCCTCGTTCACGGACATCTATACACACGCTTCTACAAAGAGAGGAGGAGCTTCAGTTTTCGCTCGAGTTGGCATCCCGTGATTCGGTCTAAGGATAAAACCCGATAAATGGGTTCCCTCCCTGGGTCCCGCCACAGAGAGCCTCGTTCGTCGGAATGGGTCTACTTGAGCAGAGGGTAGCCCGCTAGTCCCTCGCTTTTTTGTTCCTTCTAGAGGAAGACAGCTGTGAGGGGTAGGGGTAAGTATGAAGCTGGAGAGATGACATGGATGTCCAGTTGGGTGCCGCTTGGACAAAGAGCAGCTCATATCGATGTATGCCCGCCAATACAACTCGGCGTAAAACAAGTTGGCAATGACTCGGAACAGCTACCGAGCTTGGAAGAAACAAAGCCGGACCACCTGGAGTTGGCATGGGGCTGAATATTCGCGACAGCTAACGTTCACAGGGCATGTTTTGAAGAGTTGTAGCTCCCTCTAGTTTCATAACTGGTAGTGCCGCAATTGCGGAGCAGTGAATCTGATATGTGACTTCGCACGTTTCTATCCTGAAACAAATGGAAACCTCTACAAACAGAGGTGGTTTCTTCTAAATCCTTTCCAACCACCAACTTACATGGCAACCCGGAACAAACCAAGAATGTTTTGTGAAGGAAAAGGGGGCTTTGGGAGAAGTACATTGACGTGCGCCCAAGACGAGGAGAAACGCCCAAGATGTTGCACGATCAAGGATATAAGAAACGAGAGAAGCTTGCCCAGCTCACAGGTTGTTCTATTTGCTCCTCCCAGTACATGCCATGTGAATATTGGCACGCTTGAGCCCCATCGACAGTGCTCCCGACGACTAACTAAATCCTTCAGGTTGACGACTTTGTGAACTCTTAAGATATAGTTCTTACGCGTGCTTTCGGGGAAATGGGCGTGTAAATTGATTAAAGATCGCCGAGATCCGAGAGAGTGGATATTGAAGATATTGTTGAATGACCGTCGTCATCCTTCTCAACCTCGATGTGAATGACATCCTTGCCATTGAACCTGATCTCTTCATCCTGTCCTTTTTCACCATCTCTATCCTCGCGCTTGGGCTTCTCCTCGTCCTCATCTTTCAACCTGCTTTCATACTCGTATCTGAGATGAGCCTCGTCTTCGTCTCTGAGGCCCATCTCATCATTTTGGCTTTCCTCGTCTTCTTCGTCCTCATACAAGACGTGATCTGCATCTTCTTCGTTCAAAAGCTCTCCTACCCATGTGCTGTCTTTCATGATAGTCCTTGCCTGTTCCTCTGTCACTTTCTCTGTCCCTTCCTGAGACATATCCTCCATGATCAGCCGCACAGCCAACTCTGGGACCAAGACGGATTGTACGTATACCATATAGCCACGCTTCGAAACCAGGCGATCTTGCACCGCTCTCTTCCGTAGCTCTGAAGAGAACTCATTGACCAAGTATTCCGACATAAGCCGTAGACCGCGCATGCCGTAGTACCCAGGAGTCAGATTCCCCTCCGATTTCAGTAGAGTCTTGTTCTGGCCCGACTTGATCTTGTCATTGAGGGCATTGGCGTAGTAGGATTTACCGCCGTTGAGAATGGCGCGAAGAAAGTTGTGGTGCTTCTTTATCCGTTCGTCCAGCACAGTCCAATCGATGTCGGGATATCCCTTGTTCTGCCATTCTTCCTTGGCTGATTTCCTCTTGTGGGACAGGCAGAACTGTTGTTCTTGGTGAAGAGTCATTCTAGTTTGCCTCGCTCTAAGGGTTTCGAAGAAGGACTCGTCGACATCCTCGTCACACATCGGGCAGACGAGCTTCCGGTTTGACTCAAGAGCGGAGTCGAGATTTTTGAGGGGTGAGCTTAGCAGTATAGGTAGCGTAATGTCTGCTTCGTCGAATCCTGATTCCAGCTCTTTGTCCAAATCGAAGGGAGATGAAAAGTCCTTTGGAATTCGTAGAATAGTCGGCTGTCGCTTCTTGGCTTCTTCCTCAGCTTTCCTCTTTTCCTTGTCAGATCTCGACTTTGCAGGCCGTACACGAGGTCGTCCAGAGCCTGTCTTGGTAAGTTTCGTTACCGAGGAAACATTGGTTGGAGAGGAGCCAGATATCGCATCGGGGATTCGAAAGTTCGTCCTGGGAGCGTCCGCCTTTCCATTCTCGGCGGCTGCTGGTGGTATTTTGAGTACCCTTGGGGTTTTGAACCCTGGCTGTTTCGTATCTCTGGGTATGTGGAAGCCGTTCTTTTTGCCAAATGTTTTCGATATCTCTTTCCTGGATTTGAAGATGCTAGACTGGTGCTGGCTGCCCAACTGTTGCTGACCCGTCTTCTTTTCCGTAGATACCCTTTTTGGAGGAGGCTGTACGATTGAGCTTCCTTCATGGTCAGTCTGATCATCCTCAATTTCATCCCACAACCGCTTCTGTTGCCGCGTCGCCGGCCTTGTAGATGAGCTGGTGGTGATGTCGGTTCCTGGAGAGCTGCCGTGTTCTCTGGAGGGAGAAGTTGACCTTTGTTCTCCCTGTCTGCCACGGTGCAATAAGTTCGTCAAATCGCCTCTCATGGATTCCGCAGATCCTTCGTCGTCGCTGCTCTGAGGAGGTGCATCTGGATCAACATCGTCCATTTTTGAAGGAATGGTTAAAAGCGGTGGAACTCCTCGTTGATTTTTGCTTAATCCAAGGAATCGCTTGCCCTGTGGCATGCTGGGTCTCATCTCCTTGACAGCTCAGGTAGAGAACAGGCCTTGAGGATACTGGTGAGGCGGTATCGCGCCTGGGAGCTCAGACTGGAACTTGCTGCAGTCGTGCGAAAGCCGAGTGTTTTTGTGGTTGCAGTTCCAGGACGAGGAAGCCAAAGTGTTTAAGTATTGCTTGGGAAGATGCTAAACAGCCCAGGTACCATTAAAACTCATAACCTGCCCGCACACGTTGTCTTATGAGGACCATATGGTCAGGGCAACGCACACCTTCAGAAAGATGGAGATATTGAGATGTAATCCTCCTGCACCTTAGTTCATCTCACTGCATTTCTTGGGCCGTCGTGAAGCGTGATGTCCTGCAGAGCCAACAAGGTTCCCGCATCCAAGTGGAAACTCGCACACAATAAATAGGACACTTCAGACGACCGACGCGTCGTGTCGGTAAATGCGGGGCCGCGGGGCGCTCTTTCCCCTTGACATGCTACCTCTAGGTACCCTGCGTTGTGAACGCCACACAAAGAACGAGCACAGCATTACCTAGAGGTACCTACACCTCAGCACGTTACACCACATTTGTACTGCGTACACTAGCTCCAGCACGGCGGAAGCCTCAAGGTTACCACCACCACTTCACGCTTGAACAGAAACTACTTACCTTACTACTCCGAGCTCACTCTGCATCAACTTCGTCAGATCGCAAGCCCAACACCTGAGTGCTTCAGTGATTATTTCGTGTGAAAAGAGTGTTCCAGATGGCATCAAATCGAAAGTATGCTGCCCTGCCGGACCTGGTAAGCCTGTCTGCTCTGGAAGCTCGCAAACGAACTGGTTGCTAACCACACCGCAATCCAGGATTCCGCGCCAGACATATACGAGACACCAGAACTAACTGACGACAATTCCACAGTTCCGGTGAGCTGACTCTCAGCTGTTCCGTTCGGCGCAAAACTAACCATCTTCTAAGCCTACAACTGTGAGGTCACCCTCTGATAACGAGTTCGATGAGGAAGAAGATGATTCTGCCGCCATTTCCCGGTCGCGTCTCCGGATCGATGAGGCCCGTTCGAGGTTCATGCCTGCTGCGGTAGACGCCAGCGATGTCGACTTCTCAGACCGGCTCAGCAGCAAGAGGAAGTCTTACAAGACTGCAAGTCGGCGGCAACGGATTCTTGAGGATGGCACTGAGGAGCTGGGCGACCTAAGTGACGAGGATGGCGCAGAAAACTTGGCCAGAAAGCTTGCACGGCTAAAGCGCGAAATCGAGGAGGCCAAGGAGGAGTATGAGAAGCAGAAGGCAGCGGCAGAGCAGCCCAAAGCAGAGACAGCGGGCCAGGACGAGGAGGAAATCGAATCCCTGAGCAGGACCTTGGATGAGATGTCAAAGCTCGATGACCTGCTTGCGCCTAGAACGGCTCCAGCCGCGCCAGCCAAGTCTGTTCGCATTGATGAGGGGCCGTTGGAAGCCACAGAAGGCTTCGCGAGCTACACTGTTACCTATGCACCAACCTACGAGGAAACACATGCGCTAGCAAAGGCAGCCGACTTCGATCACCGGCTCGTCATTCTGGAGAAGGCCCTAGGGGTTGGATCTCCAGAGATGCCCGAATTCGACTCGAACGGCCTACCGAGAGCGATACTGCCTATCTTGGAGACTCTCCACAATCAGGTCAAGACCTTATCAGAGGCCTCGACGTCCTCTTTGGACAGCATTACTCGCAGAGTCCGGACCTTGGCACAGGAGGCCGAAAACCTAGAGAAAGCGCGCAAGAATGCAAAGGCAGCTCACGAGGCGCTTGCATCGACAGGCGCAACGCCAGTGATGGATCCAACTGCGGCCGAAGACTCGGAGCTGACGGCCAAGATCAACGCCCTCTACGGAACCATCCCAACGATCGAGAACCTGACGCCTCTACTGCCTCCTCTACTGGACCGTCTAAGGTCTCTCAGGGTGATTCATTCCGATGCCGCTACAGCATCTGAGACACTGGCACGTCTAGAAGCAAAGCAGGCCGATATGGCGGGTGATATTCAACAATGGAAGGAAGGCCTAGAAAAGGTCGAAGCAGCCATGAAGGATGGAGACGCTGCCATGGTCAAAAACATGGACGTAATGTCGGGATGGATCAAGGAGTTGGAGGCAAAGATGACGAAGCTGAATTGAACGCCATGCCTGTCGTGGTGTCCAAGTAAGATATCCAACATTGAGGCGAAATGATTATCACGAATGCCTTGTCTGCGAGAGCCCAACCGAACCTGGGCGCATCACTGTGCAATCTTCTGCAAGACATGTAAATAGATGAAGACATGAGGTCGAGATTCCCTGCTTCAAACACCGTTGGTATGTCCGACTTGTATCTACTACTGCAACTGCAAAAAGTCGAGGGCTTGTTGTACCAACTGGTACTTTAGGACGAGAACCCTGACGACCCAGAGCTCAAGGGTTTCTTGGAAGCTTCCATCGATGCAATTGCAGGTCCACTCAGCGACCAATCAGGTGAGCGCTTGGCACCAGAAGCTTGGATCCACTCCCGTTCATCGATAAAAAGTTGAGTCCTGAAAACCAGCAGAAATTTTCCTCTTGCACACTCTTTCCTCGGGTTCTCCGGCAGTGACTTGTCATTTCCCAACGCCTGGCTTCACTGCCTCCAAGTGGAACATCACAATGGCTTCGTGAAGACTATTACTGTCGAGACCCAATGGGATCTTGCAAAGCTGCTGTTAGTTATCATGCTTTGAGCAGCTGCTTTTGTCACTAGTGCGATCAGCACGTGACGGAGACAATTCGACGACGATGCGTCGGTCTTGAAGCCCAGAATTCCTGAGCGAGATGATGCATTTCTCACGAAACAACCACCAGAAAATATCCGATTGGTAAGTCTACCCCTCAAACCACCCAATTGGGCTCCCTACACTGCGGCTCGGATGATGCATTAAATTATTTGCTACTCTGAAGTACATTGATGTCTCAATAATCACCAAGATCTCTGACTATCCAGCCACCAATCACTTCGTCTTACATCTTCATGATCCCTTTGCGTTCAAGAAGGCTAACAAGGCACAGTCTGACAGGATCTGATTCACGATCACAATGAGCGCGCCGAAACCCCCAAAGGGTCATTTTAACATCCTGTACTTCGCAACTGCTAGCTCCCACACAGGCAAGGATATGGAAGCATTACCGGCGCCGCTACCCTTGCGGAAACTCTTCGACACACTCGAAGAGCGGTACCAGGGTATTCGAGAAACGGTGCTTGATCACAGCCTGGTCACGATAAACTTGGGCTACGTGGATATGCCGAGCAGTGAGGATGAAGACGGCGAGGATAACGCTGTTGTTATCCAAGAAGGGGACGAGGTGGCTATCATACCTCCGGTCAGCTCCGGCTGAAAGCGTGGGATACAAACGGACATTGTCTACCTATCACAAACAAATAGAACGTCAGTGTTTGAAATGCCAGAATATGTCCATTGTGTGAAGCTTGCTGTCTTCGAATTGGGTCGCGGTACGTGCTCTGTTGGTGTATCTTTGTCCGAAATTCAGGCTTTCAACAATCAGAGAAAGCCATCCTGTTTTAGCCCTCTCCGCGCATTCCATACTATGACCCCCACCCACACTTGAATACGGAGTGTCTCAAGAGGCAATCGTGGTGAACAGCACCTTGCAGGATCATCATCATTCTTTTGACATACACTGGAATGATCTCATTCCTCACCAAGATCCATATGGGTTGCGATCGGCCAGCTGCCCCTTCTTTCCACTGTTCCCGTCGCTAATATAGTGTAGATAGCTACCCCGCTATCCCCAAGATCGTACGCGAACTGGAAAGAGCTGTACATAACGCTGCCGTGTCACCAGTGGAGTAAGCCGTTAGCAGGCCAACCCTCGTCTCACCTCCTTAATTGCCTGTCCACCGGGCGCCCCGTACGCTTCTCATTACACCGGACCTAGCGCCGCAAAGGGGCATTACCGCCTGTATTCCATCCCCTCGTTGTTACACCTTTACTCTCACTTCAGTTATAAACAACAGCACAAGAGCTCAGAAACATCACGCATCCAACGCCATCGGTACCCCCAAGTCGAACACTCCATCGAAGCACACCAGCACCGTCTCGAAACCGAAACCATGGCGTCATCGCTGAGAGAGCTCGAGGCCGATCCGGCCCTCTACATCTACACCTCCTTGACAGCCGGGTCGTCGCACATCGTGACAGCCACCTCCCGACTTGAGACCATCCTTCGAGCCAACCGCATCCCCTTCAAGGCCGTCGACATGGCCACAAACGACAAGGCGCGCATGCTCTGGGGCCGTCGTGGCGGCAAGGACCCTAACGGCCGTGTGCGAAAGCTGCCGGCTTTGGTGCAAGAGGGTTTCGTTGTGGGTGTAAGTTTGTCACACCACCACGACCACCACGACCACCACCACCACCACCATCACCCTTTTCTACCCCCCGCTACGTTCCTTTCTTCTCATGTGAATTCGAAACTAACTTGAAGACATGCAGGACATTGTCGAAATCGAAGAATGGAACGAGTACGGCGAGCTCAAGCAACACGTCACCATCTTCCAAGACGAATTCACACAGCCGCCCATCGGCTCCGTTCCGCCCAAGCCCAAGTACGGCAAGAAGAAGAAGCCTGCAGCCGAACCTTCCGCCGCCGGCGCCGGCGCTAGCCCAGCAGCAGCAGCAAGCGGCATGGAATCACAGGCGTTGCCGATCCGCACCCTAGCCGAAGAAGCCGCCGCGAAGGCTAAGAAGAAGAAGGTACAGGCCGCGACAAAGGCTACTGGTAGTGCTGCGGAGCCAAAACGGGAGAAGAAGGAGGAGGAACAGAAGGAACATGGCAACAAGGAGGTGGAGGAGGCAAAGGAGAAGGAGGCCGAAAAGCCGGCACACGAAGCAGCAGTAGCACCATCCGCGAGCAGCGAGCCCGCTGCCGCGGCAAGCAAGACTCCCAAAGCGGCGACCGTGGAAGACGGAGAGGACGCAGAAGCTGGAAAGAAGACGGCGACAACAGCGACACCTGCACCAACAGCGTCCACCCCAGCGCAGTCAGCAACGAAAGAGGCGGCAACAATGAAATCAACTACAGAACCAACAAGTACAACCAACCCCCTACCGATTCCAACCCACAATTCCTCAGCTCAATCTCCCTCACCTTCAGCGGCGGAGGTAGCGGGCTTCGGTCTCCAGTCGCCCACCTCAAGCGGGTGGAAGGACGACAGTGGGGCGTCGCGAACGGTGCAGTCGCCGACGTCGACGACGTGGCAGCCGACGGACGTGGACGCGCCCATTACGTCGTTGCAGGGGGCGTTGATAGAGAGTGCGACGGACGAGGAGATCAAGGAGATTGAGAGGGCGGAGACTATAAAGGAGGTTCCTGATCAAGAGGTTGAGGAGTAGGAGTACTAAAAAAGGGAATAATGAGGGAAAGGGGAAGAATCCTCAGGTGGTAATTGAAGGCAATCTGATATTCTCCTGATCTCGACAGGATACCTCAGACACATCAATAAAACCATACTCGTCTATTACGTGCTCCAGATCTGACTAGTTGCCACGCCAACTTCATGTTCTCCATGATCGTCGATGTTGCTTGATTATTTACCTATCCCTCTCCTTTAACGGCAACCTCTCGTTTTGTCTAGACATTTCTAAAAAGGCAGTGTAGTCCCATCCCATCTCTCAACCACGTACATGCGGCGCAGCATGACAACCGCATTATCACACCCCTTTCCCTCCCATGCTATCCAAAATTACATCACCAACCTGCTAATCATATAACCCCTCATCCTCATCTCCTCCTGATTCCTGGAAAGGCGAAACGCCTTCCTTGCCCTTCCCTTTACCAGCACCATTGACCTCGTTATCAGCCGCCTTTCCCTTTCCCTTGCCGTCATCACCCATTGTAATAGCCAGCATCCCATTCCCATTACCGCTCTCAAGTCCATCCACTCCGTTGCCATGACCATCAGCACCCTCCTTCTTCTTGTCCTTATCCTTAGCCCCCTCAAACATAGCCCTAACCTGCTCGTAGTGCTCCAACTCGCCCGCACTAACCGAGGGCACCAGTTCCCTGTGGGCATCCAAAAAGTCTTGTTCGGTTACCATGACGCTGATGTCCTCCTTGGTGGCATAATGATCAAAGAAGTAAGCAGTCGAGATCTGTTTTCCCTCAGGACCGGCGGCGGCGTTGAGCTCGCGGATCTTGGTGTCGACCAAGGTGGCCTGGCGGGTAACAGCCTTGAGCATGGCGTCGGAGCAGAGGGCGTAGAAGTCGGCGCCGGTGTAGGTGAAAGGGAGACGCTCGGCCACAGAGCGAAGGGAGACGGTTGGGTGGAGAGTGAATCTGTTGGAAGGGGTATGTGGGTTAGCATCGGAGTTTGAAGAAGAAGAAGAGGAAGGGAAAAAGAAAAATATACGCACTTTCTAGTCAAAGCCTCCATGATAGTCACCTGCTTGTCGTGCGTGTCCGAGACACCCAGGTACAACATCTTATCGAAGCGACCGGGTCTCAGCAGTGCAGGATCCAACAAATCAGGTCTATTGGTCGCACCGATGACGAACACACCACCGCCTCCGCCTTCGCCGCCCGACATGCCGTCGAGCTCCGCCAACAGCTGCGACACGATACGATCCATGACACCGCCGCTGTCGCCCTGATTACCTCTCTTGGGAGCGACGGAGTCCAGCTCGTCGAAGAAGACGACGCAAGGCCGGGCGTCGCGGGCACGCTGGAACACCCTCCGCACGTTGGCTTCGGACTCACCAATGTACATGTTCAACAGCTCGGGACCCTTGACGCTGAAGAAGTTGAGGCTGTACTCGGTGGCGATGGCCTTGGCCAGGAGCGTCTTGCCGGTACCGGGCGGTCCGTAAAACAGGATACCGGAGCGCTTCTTCATGCCCTTGGCGAACAGCTCGGGGCGCTCAAGCGGAAGCTGGATGGTCTCGGTGATGGCGTCTTTGACGTTGCCTAGGCCACCGACGTCGTCCCATGTGACGTTGGGGATCTTCGGCGCGCCGATGGAATCAGCAAAGTTCTTGCGGGCGGCATCGACGGCTAATTCGAAATCCTGCTTGGTCAGGCCAGAGGCGGCTGGACCACCAGCGAGCTGAACGTCACGGAAGGTGATGCTGCCAGTCGCTTTGGCGGTGAGCCTCTCCAGGCGGGATCGCTGCGCAACCAAGGCACGGTCAACAACGTCGACGAGATCGCCTGCTACGAGCGCGGCAGTCTTGAGGGCGATGCCGCTGAGATCTACCCCATGGTCAAGACCGATGCCGCGGTCGGCGAGGATGGAGCTGAGGATACCCTCTCTCTCCTGCTCGTCGGGGGCACTCATCTCCAACTCGTGTGTGAAGAGGGCACGGATGCCGTCGGGGACCTTCTCAACCTCGGTGGTGGTGGCGATCAAAACCCTAGCGTCGGCCAAGATTTCCTTGATGGAAGAAACCATGCGGTCGGCAGTAAGGGCTTCAATGTGGCGGACCAGGAGGACGCATGATTCGGGACCACAGCTCATAGCACGCTCAGCGCGCGATGTCAAGAACCCAGCTGTCTTGACATCGCTACCACCTCCACCACCGCCATCATTCACAATGTCATAAGCGTCTATGGCAAATGTGTGCAGACCAATATCTGAACAGGCTTGCATGGCGGTGGCTGCCTTGCCGATATGCCTTTGCGTCGACACAAGGAGAATGGCCAGTGGTGGCAGGTTGAGATGAAGCGCGGGTTTACTGGTGGCGGCAGCCATGAGCTCGCGAAGTTTCCTTCGGAGCGATGAGACATACTGCTTCTCGGGCTCTAGTATTTGCAGTTGAGCAGGTAGCCCTGGGTTTTGCTGGTGCTTGGGAAGCTTCCTGATACCCAGGTAATACTGCCAGCTGTTGGATATCGTGCCCGGAATGCGGCCTGTGACAGATCCTGTCTGTTCTAAATGTGTGAGCGAAATATCTACACAGGCGATTCCGCCCCATAGATCCTCTGCCTCCTCGCCATCGACTGCTTCTGTGGTGTCTTGCTTCATGGCCTGGACGTGACCAACCCTGAACCAGGCAACATCGTCATAATGTAGGCTCTGTCCGGGACGTGTTGCAGCAATCAGACCCAAGACCTCATCGATGGCAGAATCCTCACCAGGGATTGTACTCTCCTGGAGAGCCTTGCCCAACTGGGTGTCAATGGGTACAGCAATGAGATCTCCAGTCTTGAGAACCCGCAATCTCCTCTCAAAATAGTGTTTCAGGCCAGCCATGACCGCAGACTGTACGTCTCTCTCGACCGCTGTGGGTGTTCTCACATGTTGTAGGATCACCTCGCGAGCAAATGGTGGCTTCAAGGATGAGCTGGTCTTTGACTGAGCAGCGACGCCCTTGATGATGGAGCTCGAAGGGCGCTTGATCGGTGATAGACGAAGATAGGGAGGGTTGTCTAAGTTTGCGAGAAGAATAGGCGAAGTATAAGCCGGTGGATTCGACTTTTGGGACTGTGCCTCAAAGAAGGACGAGTTCCGGCTATCATGTCTAGAGTGGTGTGACCTGGTCGCCGAACGGCTCGAATACCCTTCAGGCAGGCCGAAAACCCTCGCAGGTCTCCAGTTAATCTCGTCTGCTTCCTGTTCCACGAAGCTTCCCAAACCAAACGCGCCGAGCCCGTTGGAGGGCGGTTCAGAGGCCGCCTCGACTCGTACCCAGTCTCCAGAGAAACAGCCCACCCTAGTGAGATCCCTCATATCCACGTAGATGCACGCTTCTTCATCGTCTTCGGATGTAGGTTTAGGGTGGAGCAGATCAGGTGGGATAGGTTTCATTAATCCTTGCGCCTTGAAGAGCCGGCCACGAGGTCGGTCTGGTCTGGCGGTGGTGGCAGTATAACTAGAGATAACCGACCCAGGACCGTTAGTCTTCCTGCCCCTGAGCATCGTCGGGGTGCCCGTTCCTATTGTAGATTGGCCGGTGACCGTAGTGGGTAGAGTAGGAACTTGAAGGGATATTATTTCGTCTAATGAATCATCCGACAAGTTGTCCTCATCTTCTCCAGCCTGTGGCTCGAATTCGGTATCGTCTGCATCTGTTTCAGCCGTTTGGGCATCGGTCTTGCTGTCGCGGTCTTCCTCGGCAGCCGAGAAGTAGGCATCTTCGTCGTCTTCGGCCACTCCGTTCAGTTTGCGCCCCTGTTGCTGGCCAGATGCAGAGCTACGTTTGGTCTTGCTGGTGCGCACTCTCGACACGATGATCTTTGTAGTAGGGGCGAGGATACCCTGAGCCACAGGTTCGCAAAGCGTTATCCGTCCTGGGTTTGGAGGTTGGTGGGTAACTGGGTGAGGTGGTAGTGGCAATGGGAAGAGATCGCCAGAATGCACAATCTTCAAGGTACCGAGGGCAGTGCGCAAAGCAGCTGTCAAGTGTTCCTCAGGGGTAGCATCGGCACGAGCCTTGCCCTTGCCGTTGACTGGGTGTTCGCGGAAGAAGGTTCCCTCCCCATCTTCCAGTCTCTTAGCCAATTCTCCGTCAAGGCTTACAAAGACGGTATCGAGCTCGATGGGCGAAACATCCAAGATCAGGATCTCAATGCCACCTTTGTTATGGCCGGAAAGCTTTGAGGGCGCAGCCTGCTGGAGGTGCGTCGCGAAAGACTGGAGGGCCAGCGATGAGGGCGAGAACTGTACAGTGGACGGCGCAACGGTGGAAGATCGAATGACGGGTACAATGGACCAGTTGTTGGCCTCGGGGGTTTGGCTTGGTGCCCAAGGAGCGATTGCAACATGAACGGTGTCCTGGCTGTCGCCATCTGTCAAGCCAGAGTGACCAGTTAGTCAGAACCCATGATACAAGGCAGGATAAAACCCACAATAGGGGCAGATATTTTACATACTAGCCCAGAGATGAGGGAAGAGGTCGGCGAAGAGGTCGGTAGCAATGACACCAACATCGCCCTTGACATGGGCATCGAGGACCAATTTGGCCGACAAGGCGGGCTTGTCTTGTCTGCGTCTTCGGACCCTTTTCCTGCTCGAGGCAGGGGCGGAGTTGGGGGCGGTCATTGCAGAGGTGCGTCGGCGTTGGTGTAAGACAGAGGTACGGCAGCAAATCGGAGCCGCTGCCCAAGGCTTGAGATTCGACGATGGAGTGATTCGGTCGGTCGGCGCAAAGGGATCAGATCCTGAAAGTTTGGTCCGGTAAAGTAGCAGGCACGATTATTATTTACGGCCCATGCCGGTCGAGGTCCCCCACACCTGTCTAGGTAGTAGCGACAATGTAGACTGCCGTGTACACCGCGGAAGTGATTTGGGGTTCAGCTGCAACGAAACACGACAAAGCCGATGCCGAACAGTACAGCCAGGGGCGCGTGGCAACCCGGAAGCAAGTGCCTTGGAAGGGAATTGCGATAGAGTACAGTTGATTAAATTAGAGAAGAGAAGGCGTCGCAACCACCACAGAAATTATCCGAACCAGCAGCGCGTCGTTTGGAGAGAGAGAGGACGGGAGACTATGCTGTCCCGTTGCTGCATGTTCGGTTCGGCTGATCCCCAAATGGTCAGGGCGGTCATTCGCTGGGCGCTGTCTCCCACTCCCCGGCCATTCCCCGTCTTTAGCTTGGGGGGGCGGCTCCTCCCTCCTCTTAGGCCGAGGCACATGGCCGGCGGTCCGCACAGCGGTAAGGAGCTGTTTTACGTAAACCCAGGGTTAGGGCTGGGTAGGTGCTGGAAAATGATGACAGGTCATTTCGTACTTACTTCCTACTGTTAAGCTTACATCCTCTACCAGCGATCAACCACATGCCTTTGAGGATGAACACAACTACGATATCACCACTTCATGTTCAAGGGGAATGGCTCTGGACTCTGTGAAGCTTGAGTATTTATTAGATCTCAGCTGAAGGCAATGGATGAAAGCGGCCGCCCCAACTCCCGATTCCAGTGCCTGGGGATCCACTTGAACTTTAAGCCCAACCTCATGCGGGTTTCATTCTGCTTGGATGATTCACCCACAGTGGTTCTTACAATCCGATGGGCCGTTACAGTAGAGACATCTGAAACCAAGACGCTCGACACCACATGCTAAGCTTTTTTTCAGAAGACAAAAGCGTTGATGATGCTCCTCTTCTGGTGTCTTGACTAGTCAGGGATCACTTGGCGTCGGGAAATGACATGGCGCTCCCAGCAAGACGAACGGATCTCCATATTTCTCACATGCCTCCCCCATCCATGTCATCCCCACATGGGCTCCCCCAGCTGCAGTGTGACGCACTTTTCAACATTTGGGCACTTTCCAGACTTGCCCGACTTTGAGTTGTGAATCCGGGGATCAATTGAATGTCTTGTTTCAGGAAACGAAAACACAACAGCACTCTTCAGGTCTTCCATCTCTGCCTGCCGTTGGTCCTATCGACGGCTGACACTGCGTCGTAAGGACGACAGATTGGTTCAAGGTTCTCATCACTCGATTATTCGCTTCGCGTTTCCTATGTGACCGAATTGCGGTGATGGGCCATCTTCAGTCGCTTTGTGTCAACTTTCCCAGAACGATGGACACTCCTTCCAAACAAAACCGGCTTTGTGTCACAGCTCTGCAGCGGTTGGCAAGTTACGTCCGCCGGGTATAGCACATTTTCCCTCCCTGAACCCCAACCCTTTCCAGACTTACACTGTGCATTGCCTCAAAGCCTCCCCCTACCAGGCGAACGCAGGTTTCCATCATGACGTTGATGGCGCAACACTCGGACGGCGCGACACGGAGGAAGTACTCCTTTTGCGGTTACCCCAGAAATATCCAAGTTGTCTATTTACTTTTTCAATAATCCTTTCCTTGCTTTTTCTTCTTCTCTTTCTACTGGTCCCTTCAAAGTATTGCGTCTTTATCTTGTTGGCCACCCAGCACTTGTTGAGTTGCATGACCATGTCCTTATGCCTTTCTCTTATATTCAAAGAACTTTTGGACAAGTGACCAAGCTTAACAGTATTTGGTCGAATATCGAAACGGAATCCCCAGCCGCCATGTCCGTTGAGGTAGATAGGCTTCCCTGTGAGGGCTCAGCTGAAGAAGCAGTGGTCGAGTTTACCCATCAATCAGAGAAGCTGTCCTTCCAGCCGCCAGATAGCCCGGACCACAAAGGTGTCGCCGTCGAAGCCATCTTTGTCGCGCCCCAAGATGCCGTTATCGTTACATCGGATGGAAACCGTCTACCTGCCGTTCCGGTAACCGAAGCCTACAAGCTTAACGTGTTGAGAGACGAAGCCGAAAGACACGATGGAGTCAAGGTACACGTTAGGGAAGCCAGTGGCTCGCGCGATAGGGTCAAGGAAACAGAAGATTCGGAAGGAGACAGAGTACTCAGTTTTCCCAGCGAAGAGGAGGAGAAGAAGCGCAACGCCTCAGAATCGACCGACGGCAACCTCAAGAGGTCGATGCCTCCTTCTTACACGCACCCTCTGTTCCCGCCCTTACCACTTTACGGTCCGCCATCGCGCTGGCGAGACATCCAATGTCTGCTGTTTCGCTTCAGCTCATTCTTCCTCAGTCTGGCATTCCTAGGCGTCATTGTCCTGGGCTCCCTTTTCACCAGTATACCACCTGCATTTCAACACATCTGGAAGCGGCTGCGTTCCAAAGATCCAGATGCCGACCGGCCATTTTACCAGGAGGAGAGGCGACGGAAGCAATTGCGAGAGAAACAGCTCCGCCTGTGGAGGCGCAGGAAGTCGGCGCGCCACCTTGACCACGAAGACAGTGAAGACAACGACGAAAGCGATAGTGACGTCAAGGCCGTGGGCCCCGACCCCATCGTGTGCGACATAGGCTTCTATGCCCGCCGTGTTGGGCTCGACGTTGAGACCCATCTTGTCGAAACCGAAGATGGTTTTGTCATCGAGCTTTGGCATGTGTACGATCCCGAAGAATACACACCACTACCAGAAGAGGAGCGGCGACACAAGGGCCCCGACCTGTTCACAGGCAAATTCAGGAGGGAACCAGGCCAGACCGAGAACAACAAGAAACCGAAATTTCCCGTTCTTCTTATGCATGGCCTTCTCCAAAGCTCAGGCGCTTACTGCGTCAACGACGAAGACTCGCTTGCCTTCTTCCTCTGCAAATCGGGCTACGACGTCTGGCTCGGCAACAACCGATGCGGCTTCAAGCCTCGCCACGTCCTGCTTGAGTACTCGGATCCGCGCATGTGGTGCTGGAATATCCGTCAGATGGGCGTCTTTGACCTGGCTGCTTTGACCTCGCGTGTCTTATACGAGACTGGCTTCGAGAAGATCGGGCTGATTGCCCACTCTCAGGGCACCACCCAGACATTTGTCGCCTTAGCCAAAGAACAGCGACCGGACCTGGGTGAAAAGCTCACCGTGTTTTGCGCCCTCGCCCCGGCGGCGTATGCTGGTCCCTTGATCGGCAAAATGTATTTCAAGTTCATGCGCGTCATCACCCCCGCCATGTTTCGCATGCTGTTCGGCATTCACGCCTTCATCCCCTTCATGATGACGATGCACTCGCTTCTCCACCCGCGCGTCTACGGCTGGCTCGGGTACAAAGTCTTCTCGTTCTTGTTCAATTGGACCGACCGTCGCTGGGACAGAGACCTCAAGAACAGAATGTTCCAGTTCGCGCCCGTCTACGTCAGTGCCGAGTCGATGCGCTGGTGGTTAGGTAGGGAGTGCTTTGCAAAGCACAAGTGTATCCTGGCTACCAAGGAGGAGTGGAGGGCAGAGGAGAAGGAGGATCGAGAGTTGGACAAGCTTGACAAGCAAGAGAGGAGCAGGAACGAGAAGAAAGCTGACAAGATCCTTAAGGCGGCAGAGCGTGATATGGAGGGCAATCATAAGTCAGAGAAGTCGAAGCATGCGGCTCGCAGGATGAGGCCCAAGGGTTCAAGGGCTTGGTACAACCACCAAGCACCGCCCTTCGCCCTCTGGGTATGCGGAAACGACGCCTTGGTGGACGGAACTAAACTTCTGAGGAGGTTTGACGGCGGACGTGAGCCGCACGTTAAGGTAATCCACAAGAAGGTCATCGAGGAGTATGAGCATCTGGACGTCATCTGGGCCATGGATGCTGTGGACCAGGTCTTCATGGAGATCAGGGAGGTGTTGTGGAAGACCTGTAACGCCAGAGATTTGTGCCGAGTTCCTGAGGGTTGCGAAGACGTGCCCGCTTGGAGTCCGGATGGACATGAAGATACTCAAAAGGAGGTGGATGACGGGATGGAGTCGGATTCCAGCAGTAGCGATGAAGATGAGTCTTCATAGACTGGGGACCTGTTCAACCTACTGTCGGGTATTTATATGATATCTCGGAGGTTTGGTTATATACTGTCGGTGGGCAGTGATGCAAAACCAATGGGATGTTGTGGACCGACTTTGGATTCGGGAAAGGGATAGGAGTTATTGGCTACGTACGGCTTTTTTATAGTGTACGCGGGGCCAGGATAGATAAGATCTGCTTAATCAGTATACATTACTTAATCAAATACCAAGTTATCGTTCTTGTAGACGATCTCCCCCTTCGACAGATGGTTGACTTGGTAGGCCTGGCCGGTGACTAAGGGATTCTGGCCACTTGGTTGCGGGGCATCAGACGGCAAGATCTGAACGGGACGAGCCTAGCGCAGGAACATTTCGAGATCTCGCAAATAATGCATGTGAAGGTGACTCGTGGCTGACCAGGTGGGTGTTCCTAGCCAACACCTTAGAACAAAATGCCTATCTCTCAAGAAGACGGTTTTACAAAGTACGATGTAGAAGACCGAAATACTAAGGTAGCCAGTCCGCACCGAGACATCAGACACACGAGAAGCCTGCCACGAAAACGGATGCCAAGAACAATACACTATCCGAGAGCCTTCTTGGTAACACAAGAGTCGTAGTGTAACTGTAACCTCATCTTTTAAACAGCAAGGAACCAGCGGACGCCGAAACACCGATAGCTTATTTGGGTTAATCCAATCATAACCGTCAACCAATGCGAAGCTTGAATAATGGGAATACAGTATGCATAGTAGAGATCGCTGAAAGTGCAAAGTGCAAATACTTTGGCCCGA